TGCAGGCTGAAACATGGAAGCACTGGATAGTCGTAGTACTGGATTGACAGCTAGTCAGATGAGTTTTGCTTTGAAAAACTATCATTCTATTCTAGTTTTACTTGTATTCATTATCTTAGTGAAGATGGACAAGGAAATGATGTTGGAGCTATTAGGGCATATTTTGCTCTTTGCCAAACCTGACCATTACTAGGTTAAGAAAATTGAGCAGTGCCACAAGCATTTGCCCCGTTCGGCTGGGAGCGGCTGGCTGGCTGGGCTGGCTAGCCCTCTCACAGAAACACTGTTTACATGAACCAGCCAACAGTACATCTCTCTCACATAAACGAACCAGCAACGATACGAACCAGCCAATTGTTTGTTTTTTTACTTAATCATGACAAGGTAGCCACAAGCGGAAATAAATATGGTCACATCATGGCTCATAGCAGTGAGATAGAGTAGCATGAGTAGTAGGCATGAGATTACTAGTAGTTCAGCATTGCTAGTTCTATAGTTTATTTGGATAAACTTGATGAACACGAATGGTTATTACCGTGATGACGGGTTCGGCTAGGCGCTGCTTGAGACATTACATGCTCTAGCAAATATGAGTATCATTATGATGAATCTGGTAATGTTTTAGGGAAACAACAATTATGGGTATGCAATAGAATGCAAAATATGATCCAAAATTTAAATCTAAAAGAGGGCTGAGGAACCAAATATTTTTTGAGAGAATTAGGCTATTGCTTTACTGAGGAATTGAGCTTACCAAGATGAAATTGAAAACTAATTTGATTTGGCATCGGCAAAAAAAATTATAACCATGGGATAGAAAACGGAAAAAAAAGGATGATGACAATGATGGCAATAGCTTAAGCCAAGGAAGAATTCATCGAGAGAACAGCTTTACGGAATTTGTTAGTATATATATGGATTATAATAATGGGAAGAGCTATAGGGAGTTTGTCCTTATCGAGAATAGTTGGCCGTTCACAATGTATAGGGGCGCCAGTAGAAATGAAACTGTGGATCCAGCCTATGAATCACCAATATAAATGCATTTTTACTGGCAGTTTTCTAAAGACTACCACCCGTAGTTAGTTAAAAAGCATTTATATTGATGGTTTTCTAAACCTAGCGCCACTACAAATAATTTGAAATTAATTTTTAATTTTTTTCAAATGATCCGGATGGTTTCATGGTCTAAACGAAAGTCGTAGTATTCAAAAAGATTTGCAACTTTGTAGTTGATTACCTTTTCATTTGAAATCATTTGGGTCTCGAAATTATATTTTAAAATTAACGATTTTAAAATTCATATTTTTTTAAATTTCTCAAATAACCTCGGATGAAAAAATTGTCAAAAGTAGCATTGTAGATCTCGATGAGATCTAGAACTTTTTAGTTCAAACTTGTTTTTCATTTGAATTCATTTAGGCCTTCAAATCTCCATTTCTAGATTTGGCAGACTAAATACTAGGGGATTGTTTCTGTTGCTAAGTCATAAGTGACTTTGGAGTGCGGTATGGGACGTAACGCGCGAGGCTTGAGGTTGTAAGTTTGATTTTCGAATACCACAACTTGCGCAGATTTATCACAAAAATGGAAAAATTGCTAGAAATCGGGGGTGGGTGTCTAGTAGTGCGGTCACTAATGTTGTTTGTACTGGTGTATATGACAGTTGACAGAAAAATATGGTTGCGGTATGCTCTATTTTTATCCCCAGAGATCTAGCCTTTCCACGTACACGCGTTCTGATCCACTGTTTTTTTTTTGTCCCCAGAGATCTAGCCTTTCCACAGAAAAATATGGTTTCTCAAATGGAAAGTTGACCAAAACAACAATTGTAGATCTTGATGAGTTGAACAAACTTGGTATTCAAAACTTTTCAATTTGAAGTCATTTAGAGTTCATAATACTAGAGTCAAAGTGTTGTTTTTTCATTTGACCAAATTTGACTTGGTCAAACTTGCTCAAATGAGACACTAAATGACCTCAGATGAAAAAACTCTGAATACCAAGTTTGATCATCTCAGCAAGATATACAATTGTTACATAGCTCATTTTCCCATTTGAGAAAGTTTTATCAAACACTAGTCACAAATTCTTGAATCTTAGACTTTCTGAAATTATGTCACACTTGTGAAATTTGAACTACATTTTATTTAAACTTTCTCAAATGAAAAAATAGCCTATATAAAGATTGTAGATCTTGATGAGCTGAACAAACTTGGTATTCAAAACTTTTCAATTTGAGACAATCTAGGGTTCCGAAAACTAGTTTGTAAGCATCAAAATTTAAAAATCACAAATTTGAACCATCCAAACTATCTCAAATGGAAAGTCGACCAAAACAAGAATTGTAGATCTTGATGAGTTGAACAAACTTGGTATTCAAAACTTTTCAATTTGAAGTCATTTAGAGTTCATAATACTAGAGTCAAAGTGTTGTTTTTTCATTTGACCAAATTTGACTTGGTCAAACTTGCTCAAATGAGACACTAAATGACCTCAGATGAAAAAACTCTGAATACCAAGTTTGATCATCTCAGCAAGATATACAATTGTTACATAGCTCATTTTCCCATCTGAGAAAGTTTTATCAAACACTAGTCACAAATTCTTGAATCTCATACAGACTTTCTAAAACTATGTCACACACTTGTGAAATTTGAACTATATTTTGTTCAAACTTTCTCAAATGAAAAAATGGTCTATATAAGGATTGTAGATCTTGAATCGATGACCATGACTCCATGAGACCCATGAAGCCATGAGCTTGGCTATTTCTACTCATGCCGCGAAGATTGGTGCTTGTATGATGTTTGATGTATGATGTATCTGTATCTTTATCTTATTTGTTGCTTTACTCTTTAGTCTTTCGGCTTAATCTAGATGGATTATTGACTCATAGAGTGGTGTAATGGTTTGCGCACGTATGATATATATATATATATATATATATATATATATATATATATATATATATATTGCTTTTACTCAATATCCGAATAGATATTTGTATCCGACCTTCTCCGAATCCGATTCATACCGTATTCGATACTCATTATTCGTATCCGTAACCGAGTCAATCCGTATTCGTATATGTATCCGAACGCTATCCGTGTCCGAATCCGAATCCGAACAGAAATATGAAAACAAATATAATATGAGTGATATCCGTTCGTATCCGATCCGTTTTCATCCCTACCTGTGCTGCTGCTGACTGCTGCCTGCTACACGAGTCACGTCCGCAGCGCGGTGTTGCTAGGACTAGCAATACGCGCCATTCTGTATGGCGCGCTACTGTCGCGCCAAGATCGGTGGCGCGACAGTCCTTGTCATGTCAGTGGTCAGCGTCCCGGTCGTCGCCACGTCAGCTCTCTCGTCGCGCCACCATGCATGGCGTGGCATAGGCATTTCGCCGCGCCATGGCTATATGCGTGGCCAAAAGTGTTAGATTTGAAAATAAAAAACAAGCGGTGTTAGATTTATAATTAGTTTAAAAAAGTGTTAAAATTAAAAAAAAAATCTACCTCGCCTATGCCTAGCTAGCGCCATCTCTCCTCCCTCCCCGGCACCACCGCCTGACGCGAGCGGCACCTACTCCCACACCTAGCGCTTTACGACCCGTGGCCCCGCTGGCGCCATCATCGCAGCTACCGAGGAGACGTGCTTGGCCCCCGCCAGTCTCCCCGTGCCCTCCGTCGACAACGCTTGCCGTGGAGAACTCTCTGATCTGAATCCGATCGAGCTCCAATCGTAGAAGGCCAAGGTTCCCGTCCTCTTCACTTGTTTTGCATTTGATTTATCTCATATATCATAAATTGGGAATGCAGCAATGCATTTGTTTCCAGTGTATGATCCAGTCACTTGTTTTGCACTTAACGATGGATTCATAAATTCTAAATTTCATTCATCTCATTTGTGGACAATGTCAATGGAATGATATCTTGATTTCAAGATAAACCATTGCTCGTTGCTAGGACATGGTCATCTTAAACAAACATACTTTGCTTGGAGGATTATGTAAACTGTACTTTGGTTATTACTAAGATAAAGCACAGTTAGTAAGCATCTAAACTGAAAAATTATAAAAATGTGTCAGGTCTTTTTCAGCAGTGATAATATAATGCGGTGAAATCTGGTTTCAGCTGCATGCTCCGCTACTGAACTTGTTTTTGATGTGTGACTATCTATCTGCAATCTGTTGGTGCCACAGTGTTGAACATGTGCTATATGGCATTGATGCACACGGTAAACAATGTTTGTTTGTGAATTTGATTCTTGGCATATATTGTATTCCTCATATAGGTTTATTTATTTTTGGTGGGTTAAGTGGTGCTTATAACTGCACATGTGATTTGAGCAATCTAATGTTGAACTAGCTGCTGTCGTGACGCTTTTTGTGATGGAGTCGTTAACTGGGGTTGGTCAATTCTTTTTCTTTACCGATGATTGCATGTAGGCAAAGATCCCGTTATGCATAAGATATCTTGTAGGACGTGGCATGCTAATGCACTCTGTTTCCTTTTACTGATGCAGGAGGAAATGCCGGGTCTTGATTCTTTGCTGGAGAACAATAAAATTGTTAGGAAAATGTTTGGTAGTGAAAAAGAATGATATTGGTTTTATAACAAATACGCTAGGGGGGAAGGATTTAGTGTGAGAAAAAGCTATTGTGAGTGGGGCAACGGCCACAATGAGAGGACCCTTCGGAAGTTTGTTTGCAGTAGTGAAGGTTTCCACGAAGAGAAGGAGCTGCAGAGGGAGATTAAGAAGCGGAAGCCACGAAATATTACTCGTGTTGGATGCCCTGCTAAATTTGTGATTGCACGGGATCAGAATACAGGGCAGTGGTATGTGAAGGATTTCATCTATGAATACAACCATCCGATGGCGGAACGAGACCTTGTTTGTCTTCTACGTTCACATAGAAGAATCAACGATGAGCAGAAAGCTGATATTGTGGCGATGCAGATTTCTGGATCCGCAAACACCAGATAATCGATATTATGGAAATACAGTACGGTGGGTATGATAAGGTTGGATTTACAACAAGGGACTTGTATAATTTCTGCCATCACAATAAGGTGGAGACAGTTGCTGCTGGTGGTGCTCAAACAATCATCAGTAACCTGACAGAATGCAGACGTTGGGATCTTGATTTCTTCTTCGACTACAAGACTGATGAGAAAGGGCACCTCAAGGAACTGCTCTGGTGTGATAGTCAATGTTGGCTTGATTATGCATCATTTGGTGATGTCGTCATATTTGATAACACGTACAAAATGAATCAGTACAACCTGCCCCTTGTCCTTTTGTTGGGGTGAATCACCATGGCAGCACAGTTCTTTTTGCATGTGGAATTATTTCCTAGGAGACAATTGAGTCATATGTGTGGATTCTTAGCACATTCTCTGATGCCATAGTTCAGAAGCATCCGGTTTCCGTGATCACTGATGGAGACCTTGCTATGTAGAGAGCAATCGGGCTGGTGTGGCCGAATTCATCGCATAGGCTATGCATATGGAATATTGAGCAGAACATTATGCGTAATCTTCACGATGATGGTGTGAAGGATGATTTTAGGTATTTCCTTTATGAATGTTGCTCCATAGAAGAGATTGAGAGGAAATGGCTGGAATTCTTGGATAAGCATAACGTTATAGATAAGGAGTCGTGGCTGTATCAGATGTATGAGAGGAGGGAAATCTGGTGTGCTGCATATCATGCTTATAAGTGCTACTTAGGACCGAGGAGCAACTAGCGGAGTGAGAGCCTAAACTCTAGGCTTCAGGTAAATCTAGATCGTAAAATGACACTATTTGAGCTAGTAGAGCACTTTGACCACTGCCTTTATTGGGTGCGCAGTAATGAAGCGAATCTAGACTTTCAAGCATCGAATTATTTGCCATGCTTAGAACCAGATGCTTCAATTACTGAGAAAGAGGCTGCAAAATCGTTCACACCAAGAGTTTTTGCCACGGTGCAGTTCAGCATAAAAGCAGTCAAAAAGTGTTTTGCGAAAGAGATTCTAGATGGCTATGATATGATTAAGTATATTGTTGGCTGGGAGGATAAAGGAGACAGAGAATACCATGTGTAATGTGAGATATGTGTTGATGAAGGTAATCTGAAGGGAATTAAGATATATAACATTCAGGGATAGAAGCACATTCCGGCAAATGTAGAAAACATTCTGATAGATTTTCATTCAGATAACATTCAGGCCAATGCAGATAGCATTAAGATAGTTTTTCATTTCAGAAAAAAAATCAGATAGTCTCTCTCTCAGTTCACTACTTAATCATGACAATGGTGATTTTCTCCAACTTCGCATCCTGACTTGGGCACTCCTCTACCAATTTACTGTCTTTATAGGCAGCAGTCCAGCAGCAGCATCCATCACTGAAATAGCAGTTAACCATATGAACTACAGAGCTAATCATGTTATAATATTGACTGGGGAAAACAGATAGTCTCATATTCGAAATATGAGCAACAGAGCTAAGCATATGAGCTAGAGAGCAGCAGCAACCATCACTAAAATAGCAGATAATAGTAGATGCACATACAATAGTCTCAGGTTGACACATGACCAACGATTAACAATTTTCAGATAAGGACCATAACTAAGATTAACTATAGATAACAGAGATTAATTAAAGATGACTCATGACCAATGAATGCTTTGTCTCACCTTATGCTTCTTGCGGGTTCCCAAACAGCTTCTTGTCCATCAAAGCCAATGCTTTGTCTCGACCATCCTTTGCTTCCTGAGTCATCTGACTTGTGTCATCTAAAAATTAGTACAGAATATATGCAGCAACTTGCCATCCACCTTGTGGAAGCTCTGAAAATTAGAAGTACACACAAGCATCACACTACTGGACTCGCATGCTTGGCCCTCTGGCAAAGGACCAGAAACCCTCGGTAAAGGCTTTGCCGAGGGCTGCCCTCGGCAAAGACCCCCCCGGGGAATTTTTAGACGGCGAAGGGGTCTTTGCCGAGGGCCCTTTATCGGGCACTCGGCAAAGCCTTTGCCGAGGGCCAGGACGGCCCTCGGCAAAGAAAAGAACCCGTCACGCGCCGGCGCCGTTGGCGGTTTCTTTGCCGAGGGCTGACCCTCGGCAAAGAAGTGGTTTTTTTTTGAATTTTTTTTGCCGAGGGCCGACCCTTGGCAAAGAATTTTTTTTTAAAATCTTTGCCGAGGGCCTCCTCCCTGGCCCTCGGCAAAGAAATTTTCATGATTTTTCCCAAAAAAAACTTTGCCGAGGGCTATTGCAAGGGCCCTCGGCAAATGTTTTTAAAAAAAAAATTGTTTACTAAGGGCCGGCCTTCGGCAAAGAAATAATTTTTTTTGAATTTTTTTAAAAAACCTTTGCTGAGGGCCTGCTCCCTGGCCCTCGGCAAAGAAATTTTCAGGATTTTAAAAAAAATCTTTACCGAGGGCTATTGCTAGGGCCCTCGGCAAAGGACCCTTCTTTGCCGAGGGCCTTAGTCATTGCCCTCGGCAAAGAGACATAAATTTAATTTTTTTTTGTTTTTTGCATTCCATCGACATAATCATTTCATATATATATATATATACATATATATATATATATATCTACCGAACCCATTTTCTCACAATATATCACAACCATAATTGTGAACCACAAATCACAATATATTACAATGACAAGTCACATGTTCATCATCATTCACATGTTTATTACGACAAGTTAATGAAATCCAAGCACAAGTCACAACCATAAATCACAAATCACGCTAAAGTCCAACCACATCACCTAGCACGAGTCCTCATCAAGCTAGCCTATGAGACGATGGTGAAGGAAAAGCAGGATCACTCGGTGACGCACTAGCGGGTTGATTGGAACCCGCGGACGGAAGCTGCATAAAGGAGCAGGGATTGCATGTGTGAGTAATCTGGGAAAACAGCTTTGGAACTTAGAGATTGCATCTAGTAATCTAGGAATACAAAAAGATTAGACTCAATTGAAAATTTTGGCAGCACCTCCCCTGCACGGGGAGGTTTCCAAAACCTACAAGAAACGACGGCACGAATGCCGACATCCACAACGGCACGAGCGCCGACATCCACAACGGCACGAAGGCCGACATACATGCAAAGCACAAGCGAAAAGTGAACTTTCATACTTACAGGAGTAGCTGCAGGAGTAGGAGGTGGAGGAGCTGAAAACTGCACAGGTACACCCGATGCTTGCCCAAGACTTTGCATGATCACCATCATCTCCGCCATCGCTTCCTGCGCTGCCTTGAACGTGACCTTACGGGCCTACTGGTGTGTGGTCGACACCAGCGTTCGCTCTTGACTTTGCCTTCTTGTTTCTTGCAGCTCGGCACTGCAATATTTCACTCAATGTATCGATAATGCAAATCTAATTTAGGTGTGTAAATATCTCACGTCTGACGAGTAAAGCAGGGAATTACGGAGTGCTTGGACTGCTGCTGTTGAGTCTTTGGAGAAGGCCGTGGGACGATGGGTTGGTGGAGCTCGTGCTCGTGCTCGGATAGCGTTGAGGGAGGGGAACAGTGGTGGAGTCGATGGCGCCGTCTGCAATCCATAGCCGCCCGTGCTTCTTGCCTCCTCCGAGCCTCATGATCGCCTCTGCAGCAATGGGCTCAGTGCGCATATTGTAATCTGCCCCATAGATCTCCCTTACCGTTGACGTGTACTCTTGGACTTTAGTGTACACGTTCGGGTCGGAGTACGCCTGGGGCGGGGCAGCCGGGTCGAAGGAGACAGAGGACGACGCCCTGCCCATGTGGGACATAGCCCACGCAGAGAACTCCGAGACCTCCTTGCCCGGGTGCGCAGCCTCCTACGAGAAGATGGGAAGATGGTGAGAAATCAAGCAGAATTGAGCGTCAAAATAAATGAAAGAAATCACTTACGTATGCTTATTTGTATCCGGGAGGCTACGGCTGCCTTGATGGTGAGTTGGACCTTGCCTCATCAGACGCTGTTCCCGCTGCCTCTCGTGCGTGTCAACAAAGTCCTGTGATAACCACTTGTCCACGATCATGGCCTAGCACTCGGGATACGATCGGCACCACCAGGGAATCACCTACAAGTCATTGAGTATTTGACATATAAGAAGATGAAATTGAACCTACTTAATATCAAAACGAATCATTATGAATGTTATTCGCCTACCTCAAGGTACTGGTCCCGGGTCAGCGTAATCCGTCTTGCTTGAGGCTTGGGGAGGGACTGCCTAAGTACCGACCTGTAGTAGTCTATGTGGGCCTAGACACGTCCATGGTGGTGCATCTTGGTGACGTACTTCCTACAAGCTGCGGCAGCTGCCCGATCCGCCTGGGCCTCAAGTCCTTCTTTGGCCTTGAAATATTTCTGCATACAAAACCGATGTATCCATTCATTATTTCAATAAAAGATTTAACCAATGAATGCGATGTATTAAGCAATGTTGTGTGAGAGAGACTTACCCAAAACTCCGCCAATACTCGCTCCTGCTTGTTGCAGTAAGTGTCATCCGTGACCAGCGCATACCTGTCCTAGTTGGAGGCCAGCTCCCGCACCACCGGCTCTTCGGACAGTTGCACAATGCCGGGGTACCATTTCCTGCACAAAACACCAAGGATGCTCGTGGGGGTGCATGCTGGAGTACCCGACAAAACCAACCAAGCCCTGCACAAGTGATTAAGAAAATTTATCAGTTTCTCTTAAGATTTCCAACATATCTTATGAAGTAGTTGTGATAACATCCATAGTTACTTACCTCTTTGCCATAGGCCGAATCACTGGGCGGTTGTGAGGAAGCGGAATCGGAGGGAGGCTCACGGGACCTCGCTCGTAGAGAGTCCGGGTAGCGGTACCCTCTCCCTCGCCCTCGAGCGCCTCGCCTCCCTCGCCCTCGAGTGCCTCGTCTCCCTCGCCCGTCTGCTGACCCCTCTCGTCCTCCGATGAGGACGAGGCCGTGGCCGTCATGTGCTCCTCCTCCAGCACCTCGTCACTTGTTGAGGGAGGAGACCGCTGCCTCCTACGGTGGCTGCCCCTGGTCCTCCTCTCATCACCTCCTACGGACGCTGCCCCGGACGACGACCCCTCACCTCGAAGGAGAGGGCGGTCTCTCCCGTAAACCGAGGGCGTGTCACAGCGTGGACGTCTACTCACCATCTTTGTCCAATCACCTGCAATCACAAAGAAAGAACAAGACTAATTAGTACATATATTAGAAATAGATTCAAAATATATAAACAAAACACAAATTAAAAAACCATAGTATTACATGTATTAGGAATAATCTTTATGATTGGGATCATAGGTCTCATCATCACTATC